GGCACTCCTCTCGAGTTCCTTCGCTTCCTCCACCGGCGCAGTCACATTCTTAATATCGTCTTTTTAAGATTTTTTAAGCGCCATTAGGGAAACTATATTGCCACTCTCCACCGTGCTGAGTGTATATAGCGCCGTAGCCGGTCTCCCGTTCTTTCTCTTTCTGGGAGGGTAGCTCCGGCGCTACGGGGGATGATTGCAGGCTTTGAACATACGCTCAGCGCCCGCTCAAATTACGCAAATAAATTTTCTTTATTTTTTTTTACCGTCCTCCCTCCCACCCCCTCCCCGGCCGTGGAATCCTCGCCGCCCATTCCGCGACCCTTCGACCCACCCCTGTAAATTGATGGACGCCTTAACGATGACAGCCGCGAAATTAGAGTCACCTCTCGCAGAGGGCCGGTCCATTCCACTCTTGACTATCTTTTCTCAGTTAATAAAATAGATCTTTATCTTGTACAATTTTTTTTCTCTCTTCATGTCCCGAAGAAAATTCTTATTATGCCTGACAACTTTATTCTCCGCCAGTACCCCGTCGAAAGCTCGAAGGCCTCCCAATTTAATTATCACTCCTGCGTCGAGAAACGCGGGGCTCTTATTTATCGCGCGACACGAGAAACAAGAGCGTCGACGTTCCGCTCCTTAAGAAGTACAAATTCGTCTGTCACTCTTCTCGGCACTCTGACCCCTGGCGTCGTTTCCCACCCTTCAGCATTCAGCATTCTATCTTACCAGCATCCCAACTAACCTGCTCTATGTGTCCTTGACTTTGCCTGAGATTGAGAAATCCTGCCAGACTCGTCTGTTACAGGTCCTCCTCTCTCTCCCCCTCTCCCCCCTTTCTCGTCCTTTCCCTTCAAACCCAATTTTCAATCGCGTCAGACATCTCTCGCATCTGCATCCTGTCGCAGTTTATCAATTTCCAATACTTCCCAATATCTTGAAAATTGTCACAAATGAACACCAGGACCCTCCCCTAGCATGTAGTCCCATCCTCTGAAACGACCTGTATTTTATCTTTACGTCACCCTAGCGTATAGTTTTCGCTGTACCTTCGAGCCGATAAATTTTTCCTGCACGTAGAAAATTTTCAAATCCTGTAAAACAGAGGTACGCGACACCCTATCGTGTCTTATACAATCGCAAGTGATTGACGAGTAATCGATGGCAAATTGGTCGATCATAATTTTGCATATTAACGCAAAATTGATTGAGACGACCGTAAGACGACGGGACGTCGAGGTCCAGCGTTTTGCAATTAGACTTTTTAATTTTTATTAGCGACGCCGCGCTAAATGTATGCATAATGCCATGAATATTTTCGTCGTAACTCTGCCAACTTGTCTCCCAAGGAATTAACCCTTAAATTAGCAGTTAGCTCCGGTCTCAGACGCAAAGTCCCCGCGTCTCTGTAAATTAGAACCTCTCATAGCTCGACCTCGCTTTCTCGAGCCAAAACTTTTCTTACCCCGTACCTCTGAAAAGCCGCCGCTGCCATCGTTGCGGCAGAGAACCAACCAACCGACCTCCCGGTCCAGCAGCAGCCTCCCTCCCACAGAGTCACTCTTCGCGAAACGCTCCTCGCGCTCCAAACATCCCTTGCGTACGCCGCTCTCGTCCAGTCTTCAGAACTTAACCCCCTGGCAATCCGTTAATTTTGCCTTTTTAAAACTGTCACGCCTCGATCCAGCATTCACCTCGCTGTAATCGAGTCTATAATTTGAGGGAGTTTTTCTTAAAATTATCAAAAAAAAAAAAAAAAGAAGAATTACAATAAACAATTGAAACTTTGGGATACCGCGTTGGGACTGGTAACTAGTGTGCTTTGGAATATTTTGAAAATTTTTCACAGCTTTTTCATTGGCTCTTTATTGGATCGCGACGGGTCACGTTATCCCGTAGAGACTTCAATGCTGCCAGTTGAAATCGAAAGGGTTCAGATTCTCTGATGATCATCGAGGGATTAATTAATCAATCTGTTTAGGGCAGTACTGTCCTTGACGATAGCATCATTTCTCATGGGGTGTTTTATATGGGCTTCGGGGTCTATCGTATATATTATGTCAAAA